AGTTATATCCTACAGCACTGTAGTGGTTTAGCTATGTCCATCCGACTTGTAATCAAACTACAAGTTTTTCATCAATAAATTGCGTAAATAGTATGTATATAGAAATTAAGACAAAATTCAATATAAATGCTATATTAAAAAATAAATCACATTTTAGATATGCTCATATCTGGTATCATATGGTCGGCCATTCCTGACTATTCTTTTTTTTATTAGTTTTAGTTAAAAACTTCTTTAAAAATATCTTACTATTTAAAAGAATGGTTAATTTATCATAAAATAAATTTATCACATTTTATAAAAATTAGTATAAACATTTTTCAAATTTATTAAAAAAAAAAAACATAAAAAAAACTTTAATTTTCCATCGATTTTTATAAATAAAATGTTTAGTTTTTATGTTCCTATGTGATTTTGTTATTAATTAATATAATTAAATGCTGAATAAAATGATCTTTCTTTTGTTAAGATAGGGGTAGGATAGACTAAAAAGCGTAAGCGTTATCCAATTTGAACAAAAATTCGTACTAATACATTTATAAATATTATAAAGGTAAACATAATTGTTCAATTTAATATCGATGTTGTAGCGTTGTATGCCAGCAGCTGCTACAACCCTACAAACATTTTCTATTGCGGAAGTTACCCGTGTGAAACTTCCAAACGTGCTAAAAGCTCGCCAGCGATGTTGCGGAAGTATAAGAATTCTTGTCACCAGTCGGGAAGAACTGATGCCGAGCTGGGGAACGTCTAATAGTAACTTGGAAGATACTTCTGGAAGACCCGCAGAAGAAACTTCTAGATGACTCTTGGAAGTAAGGTATTGCCAAAGACTCTTCTAGATGTGACTAGGAAGTCACTTCTTGAAGTGACTACCTAGTATCCTCTAGAAGTGTTCCTATCTTATCTTCTAGAAGATGAGTTTTCTCTTCTTCTAGAAGAAGAGTATTCTCTTCTTCTTGAAGAAGAGTATTCTCTTCTTCTTGAAGATGAGTATTCTCTTCTTCTAGAAGATGAGTATTCTCGTCTTCTAGAAGATGAGTTTTCTCTTCTTCTATTTGTATACTCACCAAAATAAAATCTATAAAAATAAATCTAAATAAAATGAAATTTTATAGTTTTTATTGAATTAATTGAAATTAAAATAGTAGAAAATATAATTGATTTAACAACTAATCTAAAAAAAGTAATATATGTACATTAGACCGACTCACAAAAAATGGTGCTTGAGTTACCCCCCTCATAATATTCGCTGTTATGTAATATGATGTTACCCAAAATATTTTCGGTTAAGTGTTGTCCATTCGTGAGCTGGACAGTTTTAAAGAAAATATCGTATGGGAACACGATTCTTCATGTTAAATTCAATATTTTATCCAGCTTCAAAAAATCTTTGTTATGTTTTATAATGGTTCCCAAAATATTTCTAGTCTATCGGTGGCCGTTCGTGAGCTGAACCGGTTACAAAAAAGTCCCTTTTTAGTTATTTTGTTTTAAATTATACAGCATTTCTTAAACAATATATACAGTATGTGGTATCATTTGAAAGGTTTTTTGAAGCCAAGTCTAGTGGTGCGCAAAATTTGCAAAATTGTGCATATATTTAATTTTTCTTAGTAAAAACCTAACAATTTTAAATATTTTGGAATATGACAATTATAAGCAAACGGTTATTTATGATTAATACATCATTGGACGCGACTTTAAAATACCTTTTAAACGATACCCCGTATTGGATATTTTGTTTCAAAACAAACAAAAATTAAAAAAAAATAATTCCAAAATACCTTTTTTTAATTTGGTTCAGCGGTCACTTAAAATATTTTGGGAATCATCATAAAACAAAACAAGGTAAATTTTGGGAGGGGTAACAAAAACACGTTTTTGCTTTCCATACAGAGGGAGTCGGTCTAATGTACATATGTATCAAAAATTTAGAATTATTACCTTATAATAAGATAATTTTCAGGGAATCTGTATTAATATTCCAACTGCTGACTGGTATACTTCCAAAAATTGTAAAACGTTGGACTCTAAAATATTTTTGTAGTTCTTCATCAATTTTATGATTAATCCATCAAATTGTAAGAGTTATATTATGGAACGCATTAATCCTTCAACGAAATAAACCAAAATAATGTTATAATTAATATTGAATATACATACTTTTGTATTTATTGAAATTACCAGTTATACTTTAGGAAGCAATAAAAATAGGATTCTCTCATGTCCAATACATTTACCACCAAAGTTTAAACGGTCAGATCCATTTTTTACATTTTCTGCAAATAATCGACATTTTTAGTAGAACCACGTGATGAAATAAGACATTTATAACTTACCAGATCCCTTTTTTATATTTTAATTCAGTTAGAAGTATTTTAATATTAGCTACTGCTTTCTAAAAAATAAAATAATTAAAAATTAATTAATTTATTTATTTATTGTTTTGAATCAATAAAAACATTACCTTTCATGAACATTTTTTCAATAACTTGGAATTAAACCGTCTATAAAGATCTGAAATTACTAAGTCATGGATTATTTTTTAAATTATTTACAGTCACTAACGATAGAAACACCTTAACGACCCTAAACGGGATATTGCTTTTGACATTTTTTGTTTGCTCTCTTCTAATACTTAGGTTCAATATCTTGGGAACAGCATGCTAAATATTAAGAATATTAGTATCTTATGATAGGTCATAGAAAGACCTGGTGTTAATAACTAAAAAAGTACCTATAATTAGAATAATTAAATCCAAAGCTATATGGAAATTAATAAAATTGTATTTATTTAAAAAAGGTGGGTTTAAAACTATCTGATTTCAATATTAAATATCTTATATGGGCAATTTCGTGTCGAGTGACCCAAGTCAAAAAATAATTTATGTATAAAACAGTAGTATTAATTTCAATATAGTGATTCCAGACCTAAACGCGCAAATAGTTTTAAAAATATTGAAAGTTAAGATTTAACTCAAATAAATCTAAATATGTTAAAAATGCAATGTTCATCAAATGAAAGCCGAAATGTACAACTTGAAAAAGTCTTTAAATGCTTATACCTCCTAAACGAATTAAGAGAGAGTCGAAATTTAATATAAAAACATTTTTAATGAAACATATTAGACTTTTTTAAAAATAATGGAAATGGAAGCCGTTTAGAGTTGTTAACATATTCCTAAAATAGTATTTTAATATGACAACTTACTTTTTAATTTTATTTATATAATCCTTCCTTATACTTTTTGGTATATATTTAATACACTTCGCCAATTAAGAAAACCTTCTTAAATGTTTATTAACAGTTGATTTTTAACACAACACTGTCATATTGTTTTTTATTACTTAAGATTCACAATATTTTAATTACACTATTTTTCTATGAACATTAAATTCAAGAACTCATTTAAGTTTTACGATGAATAATTAAAACTGAACATGACTGAACAAAACACAAAACATCACTGAACTTAACAAAATTTCTGCATTATTTATTTTTATTTTTTTTTCACGCTAAAAAGTCCGGAAGTAACCTAAAAGTATACTTCCAGACGGCGAAAACTAGAAATCAATGTGTGCTCTCGTCTGACAATTGTACAGAAGTGACTACAATCCACACTTCCAGATGAATAAAATACAACATTAATGTGAACACTCTTCAAACTGTCTTCCAGAAGTGACATAAACATACAAATCAAGAAGATACAAATTAGGAAACAATGTATTTTGTTATTGTAAAATGTGTGTTCTCACCCAACTCTCATACAGAAGTCACTAAAACGTATACTTCCAGATGAAAAAAATTCAACAGGCATGGTTTTTTGTTTAAGCAAAATGGATGCACTCTTCTAACTATCATCCGGAAGTAACTTAAAAGTATATTTCTAGAAGACGAAAATTCGAAATCAATGTATTTTGTTTTTGTAAAATGTGCGTTCTCGTCTGACAATCGTCCAGAAGTGTTTCTGACGTGGCGTCTGGGGTGATGCGCAATAGTTTTCTCTTTTAAATGTTTGAAGGGAATAGTCATAACAATGTTGTTGGTATTTTCTATGCAAAAGCTCTATACAACTCCTACGACAATTTTTCATATGTTTTTCGAATGTTGTAAGAAAGTTTAGTGTTGCCAATTGTTTATTTCAACATATAAACAAAAAATTCAAACGATTTTAGCATAAAAAACGATAAAGTGGTAACACTGAAATCAGAAACAAACAGCTGTTTACCAAAACAAAAAAAAACTAAAATTTTATTAAAAATAGTTTATATATTAGTTTAAAATGTGGAATAAAAAAAATAAAAGAATTGAAAATTCAAAGAAATTAATTTGGTTTATTTCGCAAGTTTAATTAATTTAATATTTTTTGATTTTTTTATACTTTCACATTGTTATGTATATTTGTTTTGATTATTTTTTTTTTTCCATTGAGAACATAAACTTATGACTTTCTGCAAAGATCTGTTCACAATCACTGTTACTACACTTTAGTAGGTACAATATACAACTTGATTGTGAATTGAACAAATATTTTTTTGTAAAATTTTTCAAAACTAAATAATGTTTCTTATATTTACTTTTATGTGTCTTCAGAATCACAAAATTCTCGTGTCAAAATTTAATAACTCAAAACTTTTTTAATTAATTTTGATTTTTTCTATCTTTTTGGAAAGACAATTTTGTAAAAAATATGGTTTTGCTATAAAAATAATGCAACAATTAATACTAATTACTCATTTGAAAAAACCCCAAAAAGTGTAATTTTCTCCCATATAAACGCATTTACAAACTTTGGCGGCGATGAGATATTTGACGTTAAAATACAATATAATTTCACTATTAGAAGAGAAAAGTCTATTTTCGACACATATCGACCCACCCTAATATACATATTGTACTGGGTGTGTGATATGCACATTGTGCAAAAAAGTTTTTGCTAGTTTTTATCATAAAATATTACCTTGTGTTTACTATTTTCTTTTTTTGTATTTTACAGGTTGATCCAAAAGTAGCATTTCCCCGAAGAACACATCCCAAAGTAAGTACAAAAATGTATGACGATTAGGTATGTAATAAAGTTTAAAAAATAATAATTTGAATAAGATTATTTTGTTTTCATACATTTTAATCCTTAAAATTAAATATTTGTTATCTGTTTAAGTTTTGCTTAAGCTGGCCATACACGTTTTATTTGTATGTACGATTTGTTAAATGCCATTTCTCCACAGATTTCTGAATTAATAAATAGTTGTGCCCTAGACTTATATGTTTTCACTCAAAAAATCGATTTTTGATGGTAAATGATAGCGATCACATATTTTCTTTTCTTTTGCCCTAGTGCTTCTAGAATAACCAGAAAATGGACTTTTATGTTTTCACAGAAAAAATCGATTTTTTATTGTAAATGATAGTGATCACAGATTTTCTTTCTTTTTGCCCTAGTGCCTATAGTTTAGCCAGAAAATGGACTTTAATGTTCTCAGTAAAACAATCTATTTTAGATTTCACTAAAAAAATCGATATTTTGATGGTAAGTGCTTTTTTTTTGTCATAGCGCCTCTAGTTTGGCCGGAAAAATGGACTTTTTTGTTTTCACTCAAAAAAAATATTTTTTATGGTAAATGATAGTGATAACAGATTTTCTTTCTTTTTGCCCTTGTGCCTCCAGTTTGGCCAGAAAATGGACTTTTATGTTTTCACTCAAAAAATCGATTTTTATGGTAAATGATAGCAATCACATATTTTCTTTCTTTTTGTCCTAGCGTCTCTAGTTTAGCCATAAAATGGACTTTTATATTTTCACTCAAAAATTCGGTTTTGGTGGGTAATTGAAGTGATCTCAGATTTTCATTCTATTTGCCCTAACACCTCTATTTTACCCAGAAAATGATGTTAAATGTTAGTGATCACAGATTTTCTTTCTTTTTCCCCTAGCGTCTCTAGCTTAGCCAGAAAAAGGACCCAATGTTAGTGATCACAGATTTTCTTCCTTTTTGCCCTAGCGCCTCTAGTTTCGCCAGAAAGTGGACTTTTTTTTGCTTTCACTCATAAAATCGGGTTTTGGTGGGAAAAAAATAATCACAGATTTTCTTTCTTTTTGCCCTAGCGAATCTAGTTTAGCCAGAAAATGGACTTTTATGTTTTTACACAAAAAATCGATTTTGATGGTAAATGATAGTGATTACATATTTTCTTTCTTTTTGCCCTAGTGCCTCTAGTTTAACCAGAAAATGGACTTTAATGTTCTCAGTAAAACAATCTATTTTGGATGGTAACTCAAAAAACGATTTTTGGATGGAACAAAAATAGTGATCAGTGATCACAGATTTTCTTTCTTTTTGCCTTAGCGTCTCTAGTTTGGCCAGAAAATGGAGTTTTATGTCTTCACTCTCGGGGGAGTTTTCCAGTTTTTCCTACCTAGCTCGTGGCGGATAGGGGGACGATGGACCATCTGTCCTCTTCCATTTTTAGAGTCACTTAAGCTGAGGGAGGGCAAATTGTCAAAAAACTGGAAAAAACAAACTTGGAAAATAAAAATATAAGGATAATAGTTATGGCGCAGGGCCTAAATAACTCAGTACTGGCGGCAAGTGTTGATCTACTCGCGAGTCGCGTGTCGCCATCATCATGCAATCGTGAGCAAAAGACTACTACGGAGGTCAAGTGTACATCATGCCATTAGCAAAAACATAGGGGCGAAAGAGAAGGGTGTACTCAGAGAGAGCTCTAAGCTACCTCAGCCTTTAAATATAGGTGAGGTCTCCTTTTTCCTTTTTTGTGCACAGGATAGCAAATGAATATTTTTAGACAAACAAAAAATAAAATAGTATTTGTGTGTGAAAACTTTTATTTGACGCACAATAAAATAGCTTAACAGTGGTGTAGTGAGTGGATCATTCAACTGGCAGACGGATGGTACTGAGTTCAACCCCAGTCTGTGTCGACTTTTTATTTTTTCATAAATATTCTATAAATAACTCCACTAAAAAAACAACTTATTTCCAACCAAATAATATTGACTTACTTTTGGAACGTCTCAAACAAAAATAAGTACTTTTTCTAGTAGAATTTTAAGCAATTTACTCGATGAGTTCTGGTGATTTTTCTAGTGAATTTGTAAGCAAATATTTTGCTGGGTAGTTAGACAATTCCACGACACTCCAAAGGAAAAATCGGACTCTCTCACAAGATCTGAGGCAAAGAGAATCAGAGTGACAACGCTAAGCCAGATATCCCGAAGACGACCACGTCGGCGAAATCAACATCTAAGGTAAGGGTATCTCAAAAGAAGCTCCGAAAAACGACGAAGGAGAAGCTAGACAGTGGAAATGGAAAAGAGCCGCCATCTTACGCCAAAGTTGCCAGAAGAAGACACCGAGACGATCTCTGCTATGCAGTTTACGATACCGGTAACCAACAGAGTAAAATAGAAGAACTCGAACTTAGTGTAAAGTATACCTCCTATCTGGAAAGGCGCTGGCAAAGAAGAGCGAGCTTCCGGTGCCCTTAAAGTCCACTATCTACATAAAAGAATGAGGCAGTAAACTGGCTAAAGAACGTATACTGGAAATTCTGGTCAAAATGCTGAACTGGCCGTAGAAAAAGACGTCCGTCTTTTACAGGAAAGAAGAACCTGAGGGAACTTTATTTGTAATAGGTATCGACCAGAAATCTATGGTTAGTCTTGCCAAGAATAAAGGAACTTTATTTGAAATAGGTATCGACCAGAAATATATGGTTAGTCTTGCCAAGAATAAATGTAGGGCTTACTTTGCCTCTAAAGCTGTAATTTTCAAAATTGGGAAGGTGCCAATTGGAATGGCTGTTACAACAAGCATCGAAAAGGACACTAAAAAGCCACTACATAACGTTGAGGAGTTAAATTCTAAAAACGAGGAAGTTACCACTAACTCGCCAAAAAAGTGCAGCTGCTCTTTCCTAAATCGGAAAGGCGCCGATTGAAAAGGGCTGTCAAAACAAGCCCCGATAAGGACACTAAAACACCTAAGACGGTACCCAAAGCATCAATAGAAAGTATTGTTAATTTTGAGGAGTCAAATCCTAAAAACGAGGAAGAAATCACTCACTCGCCCGAAGACAGAACAGCAGCGCTTTCCAAAATTTGAAAGGTGTCGATTAAAAAGACTGCTATTCCTATGCACGATAAGGAGACCACAGTACCATTAATATAATCCAGTGCCACTTCAGGCTACCAACGAGCGAGGAGGTGATCACCAACTCGCTGGAAGGCAGTTTAAATGGATGATCATGATTGAGGTTATCCAAATAAACCTCCATCGGACCGAGACGGCTACCAACGCTCTGATGGCTAAAATTAACACAGGTATGATTCATATAGCTTTAATCCAGGAACCTTGGACGATTCGCAAGTTTTATGGATTAAATCACGTAAATTTCCAACTTTTCCACGCTGATACAGGGTCTTGACCGAGAACATGTATCTTATATCACAAGAACTTATGTTTTCTCCTCTCAGCAGGATTATCCACATCGGATGCAACAGTTGGAAACAAGACCAACATATACCTTGCATCTGTTTACCTGCCTTTCGATTCTCCGACACTACCACCAACGTCGGATCTTATGAAACTGGTTGAAGAGGCACAAAGGAAAAATAAGAAAATTGTAATAGGTTGTAATGCCAACTCCCACCATGTAGCTTGGGATAGTACAAACACCAATCGCAGGGGACAAGCCCTCATGGATTTCCTTAATACTAAAGACTTGATCATATTGAACTTAGGTAATAAAGCTACCTTCGTCAATAGAATCAGAGAAGAAGTATTAGATATAACTATATATTCAGAAAAGCTTATAAACAAAATTTAGGATTGCAGAGTTTCGGACGAGCACTCCTTTTCTGACCATCGGTACATAAAATTCAAAATACTACGGTCACCACCAGAGCCGATAAAGTTTCGGAATAAGTCTAAAACTAATTGGACAATGTTCGATACCTTATTAAAGAACCGTTCAGGACACTTTTCAATGTCGAAATAATGAGGACATAGACGCCAAAATACTACGGCCACCACCAGAGCCGATAAAGTTTCGGAATAAGTCTAAAACTAATTGGACAATGTTCGATACCTTACTAAAGAACCGTTTATGTCAGGACACTTTTCAATGTCAAAATAATGGTAAGACTCTTCGCAAACTATTTAACCGGACACGGCGTAAAAAGACCGCAATATACTGGGATGAGTATCATAGTAAATTTGTTGAATATAAGAAAATTGTTCGAAAAGCCAAACGAGACTCCTGTAAACTTTTCTGTGAACAGGTAGACAGCGTAAATGAAGTATCGAAGATAAAAAAATCCAAAACTCATGTCCAACCGGAATCTATGATCGATGACACTGGAGGATATGGAGAAGACAACGAAACTCCTAATGGATTCTCATTTCGCACCCGGTATATCGAATAACATAGATGAACCGATGTTGGAGGTAGGGGAGGCTAACACGGAAATTGTAATTACATCTGATATGGTTAAAGGGGCAATCAAGAGCTTTGCTCCCTATAAAGATTCAGGGCCGGATAGCATTTTCCCGGCACTTTTACAGATGGAGGCGGGACGGAACATCTGTCTCAGATATTCACTGCATTCTTGATTGAATTGATATATATCCCCATTATATGGCAGGATGCAAGTGTAATATTTATACCCAAACCAGGGAAACCTAGCTATGCGGCACTTAAGTCCTATAGACCGATAAGTCTTACGTCCTTCCTACTTAAAACCTTGGAACGGGTAGTCCATAGTATGGTTAAAAGCAGTATACCAGACAAACACCAATAATTTAAGCAGCATGCTTATGTATGCTTTAAACGACGTTGTCCACTACATAGGTAGTGGCCGTATGACCTAGATCAGTTTTATGTTGACAGGGTGCTCTGTAACTGGATCAACTACATGCTAAGGAACAGATGGATAAGCTGCGAAATGTACGATATAACTATCAGGAAAAAGATATTTCTCGGTACAGCGCTGGGTGGCACTTTGTCACCTTTACT